ATAACAACATATCTGATATATGTGTAACTCAGAAGATCGAAAATGGGAAATTAAGAGAACTGTAAGCATGAATGCAGTCTGAAAAGTATCACAAAATATCATAGCCTAAGTACAGTATATGATTTCACCGGTTTGTTACCTTATTATACAGCATCAGTTGAACACATGTTAAAACAGTAAGTTGTGAAATCAGCTATTTTGCAAAATACCTAAATTCTATAGAAAGTTTGCAAAATATCTGTTACCAGTATTGATTATTATATACTTTCTGATGTAAACAAAATTAAAATCCATTGCAGGCGTATTAATTTAAAATTTCAGACTTAAATAAGCCAATAACTGCGAGTAATATTTACCACACGTGAAGCCGCTTAAATGCTTAGCGTATAAACAGTATTGTTTCAATACAGTCAAATAAGTCTAAGAGCAACTACGAAGCGGCTGCACGACTTAAAGAGTTAATGTAATAATTTATGTGGAGCTCATGCAGTATATGCCTCTTGCAGTAATTGGCTCGCTTCTGAATATTCGAATATCTTTATTGCTCCAAGTATCTACTTGATATTTCACTTTTAAATCCGTAAGAATTATGAACTTATACAATTTTTCTCATTTTCTCAATAATGTAATATCTAGAAATCTCAATAATAATCAAATTGTCAAATTGGAACCATACTGCTTTGCAAATTTACGAAGCCTACGTGCCCTGTAAGTGAATTAATTTTTGGTCAGATGATCATGCCTTTAAAATCATTTTATATGGCCTATATGTTGCAACATCTTCATTTTTGTACCATTACATACCTGGAACAACTACGATTACCGCGCTATATTTAATAGTTTTTAATAAATGACACAAAATAGCTCCGTTAGAGGTCTCTCCAATAAATTACTGTATTTGTCTAAAAGAACGTCTTTGAAAACAAAAACAGATATAAGATAGCGTACCATTTTATAAAAGATCCAAATAAGGTGCTGTAGGACTGTTAGAAAAATAGATATGGCTACATTATTAATTCGTACATACGATATATATAACACATATATATATATTTAGGCTTATCTGAAATAAGTAATATTCAACAATATTACCGTATTAGTAAATTTAGTAATGACTCATAAACTGTCAAAAGGAGGCCCTAAAGTATGTTATCTGAGCTATGGCTATTGCCTAAAGTCTTGAAGCGCTACTATTAAATTGCTCACAAGTTAAAATTTACAGCAATTCTCTGACTTTATTTAATTCTGATTTTACAGAAGAATAAAGAATAACCCTTTGATCCACTTCAATAGATATTCTTTACTTGCTGCTTCATTACTATCAGATATGTAAGTATCATGGCAGCAATGTTCCAGAGTGATTTTCATAACCTTTTAAGAAAAAAGATGTTATGAAATGAATCTAATAAAGCCCATTAGACTCTTTTGATTCATTCTTAAAGGGTTTATAACTATGACATTAGATGTTTCCAGTATCCGGTAAAACTAGTGCAAACAGTTTGTAGTGATACCCTTTTAGATTCTAACCACACCTGATTTGAAAAGTTAAATAACTATTGAATAACTGGGCATGTTGACATAAGCATTTAAAGAATTAAGACTATCGATGTTCAATGATTCCGTGCCCGAAATTTTTAAGAATAAGTAATTATTTATTCTCCGGTAATTTGATATCAAGCCCAGCTGTACGTATATTCGATTCATCACAGATACTCTAAGTGATAAAACATATGTATTAGAAACTACTGACTAGGTTTACCATATCTTAGCAAGTATCTAGCTATTTCTTCTGCGGATATTGAAATAAATCATCATTCTTCATTGGTTAGTGATGCATTAGCTAATTACTGTAGTTCAACATTTTTGTAAGTTAAGCCAAATTATTTAATCAGTAAGTTCGCTTATTTACCTTAGTATAAGAATGTTTCCATGTATAAAACTACTGTTTTAACTTTGTTGTTCTGAAGTTTCACTAAATATGTTTACTAACTGAATACAGAGCTTCATCGCGGGAGTATCTATGCTGTCATGCCCCTAGAAGAATATTGTTTTGTGAGCCATTACCTGATCAATTCAGTCTCTCAACCTGTAATGATATTTTGTCTCATGGGATACTCCGAATATTTGTTTGGTTTACCGGTGCTTTATCCATCATTGGCAATATAATTTCATTAGCTTTACATACTCGAAATATGCAAAAAAAATATGTAATAGTAAAAGTACTAATTCTTAACTTATCTGCTGCCGATTTACTGATGGGTATTTATTTAATTACTATCGCATCAGCGAATGCATACTTTAGTGGACGCTTTGCTGATAATCATGAAATCTGGTTACAAAGTCCAGCTTGTTTAATGTCAACGTTTCTTATCTCCGTTTCATCTTTGATGTCGACATTCATCATGTTTCTAATCACTCTAGATCGCTATTTATATTTGGTTTATCCATTTGAGAATTATCGCTTATCGTATCGTGCATTATAATTCTCTCTTTCTTATTTTGGTCAATTTCCGCTGTATTTGCCGGCTTACCATCACTCTATGGCATTAATCAGACATTTTATTATCGTATACACGGTAATAATGCTGCTTGTATGCCTGGAAATATAGGAAATCCCTATCTGCTATCATGGCTATTAATTTACTGTAGCGTCACCTTTATAATTTGGATAACAATTTGCAGTATGTATGCTGTAATCTTGGTTACCTTAACGAAATCGCGCAGAGAAGCATGTAGAAAAGTTTCGCTCTTTGATAGAATTATACAAACGAAGATGATTAGTGTTGTAATTACTGATCTTCTATGTTGGTTACCGCTTTACATTATCCTTATTAGAGGCGTAATAGTCTCTGAGTTGGACACACATTCGTTACCGTTTGTAGCTGTCCTATCTTTACCTCTGAATTCATGTATAAATCCAGTCTTGTATACAATATTCACCGAAACCTTCTTGAATCACGCCTCTATGCTTATAAGAAATATATTGCAATATATTTCATCGATCAAATTGCCTAGGAATCAATCTTATAGCTTCAGCAAATGTAAGTATTTTAAAATTACTATACAAATTACAGTAGTAATCTTTTGTAAGATCGAGTAAAATTGCAATACTGCTATTATAATGCCAAAGAACTACCCTTCGAAAAGGCCTACAATCAGTAGGCACTTTGAACTGTAGTCTACAAAATCGCTTTATTACAGTATCACTGAAACACTGTGATTAATAATATTTCCATAACTTCTAAAAATTAGGCAGCGTAATAACGCAGTAAATTATGATTTATTTTCTGAACTAATAATAGAGATGATGAACAGTTCTTGCCATATATTAGATATTCCTAGTTTCGAAATATTCAGTAGTGTCATACACCTTAGTCAAAAATCTATTAAACTAACGTATAAGATTGCTACAGTGTTCTATGGATAGACATCTTTGTGATTTATTATTAGAAATGTAGATTAAGGCGGATAAAGATTTAGATTTACTGTTAATCGATACGCTTCATTGCTATGTAACTTGTACTAACACAGGCATATAACCATTATCTTGTAATATACATTGTGCTGCTAGCCGAGTCGTATAACAGGACTGCCGATATAACAACTGGCAAAATACACTCTGTAGGAGATGCAAGCTAAAACTGATTTATTACCGTTGGTACCCAAAATACATAAAGTCGTATAGTTTTACTATGCCCGTTTATACAATCTTATCTTACCACTCACAATATTACCATGTAGCCCC